GAGCAGGGGGGCTCTAAAACGCACTTAGTTGCAAAACGACCCTGAGCTTTTAAATTATGATAAATTGTCACCCGATGACAGGGTTCATTTGTAATATTCTGTTACGTAACCCGGCGCGGTGTTGTGCTATGAATTTGTAATATGTTCATGATGGTCGAAAATTTGTTTTCTAAATTTTGCTTGTTAACATCTAAGCTATAACAATTAGCTGGCTGTTGCTTACTACACATCAATACAGTGGTCGATTTGTTTTTGAGTGAATTCATTGTTTGCGTTCGGCATGTGACCGTGTTGGATCACACTGGCTTATAGTGCCGCAGGATCAAGAAAAATGGACACCTTTCCTATGCATCCTAATCCGATCCGGTAGTAGATTCATTCGCGAAGCAGCTGCTCTTGAGTTGTTAGGTCTCCTTCGCTGCTGCTAGCTAATCCCACCCCTCCTGTCCTGGTGAAACTGGAAAGGCCTCCGGGCTACCAGTAATCCTTCAATAATAAAATAAAAAAACATATGGACAAGGAATAATACTTCGATTTTTCTGAACTGAAAAATGACTAAGGTGCGGCTTGTGTACTAATATTCCTGTGTCATTAAACATTTCATGGGAGGGGTGACGGTGCTTACAAAAAGGCAAAATTTCAGTCGTTTTAAAGAAAGTGGACATTATTACTTTTATGACTGGTAGCTTCACGCAAGGTTTAGCAACATTATAAATATGACATTGTATTAAACTACTAATTAATTGTACTAAAAAGATTGTGGTTTTCCTCCTTCCCTATTGGTTACAATTAATCGCTTTAATAAAATATTTAATAATACACGAAGAATTGACTCACCTCTTATTTATTTTTTATTTATTTTATTTTGTCCATTCAATTCAAAGTCAGGCTTACAGTTTGCACCGAAACGCCTGACTCGTTAACACAAAAAAATTTATGAAGTACTATTATTATGCTAAAAATAACATTATTTTGGAAAAAAAGTTTTCCCCAACTACCAACAATAGGATTAAAGCTCGAAACTTCACCATAATGCTACCATGCGAGCCGGAAATGAAAGCTATTTTATTGGTCCCACGAACTTAACGTCACGTAAAATTGTAACTAATAAATCCTAAATTAAAATAGTTTCAGGTTTTGGAACAAATTACAGTCTATGCGGGTACGTAAAATGTACTTAGTTTTAAACGAAATAAGCTTATAACCGTAAAGCTATCGTCTGTTTAATGATGACTTTTGAAAGCCTTAGAAGGTCGCAGAATTCATATCAGTAAGTAAGAACAGAAGAATCAGTGAGAAAATTAATAATAGTGGTGAAACAGTAGTCGAATTACTCGAAAGTACTGATGAGCTTTTACGAGACGCTAACCGCCAACGAAGCACTGACACATGTGACGATAACTTAAAATTTCAAAGCACCTGTGTAGCGACTAACGATATTGGATTTTTTCAATAAAATAGGATGTGCCATAAAAAGCCGGCTTCCGACCCGGGGTACCTACTCTACGCTCAAGAGATTACACTCCCGCGGGACCAGTACCGTAGATTTTACAATAGAGGTAGGGTTGTACATCATTACGAAAACGAACACAATAAATATTACCTATTAACCAATTCTTGATTCAAATATGTAAAAATATTCATATTGCAATATTTTATGGCGCTAAAACGAATAATAATTTTATTATGTTACATATTTGGATATTATTTAGTGAACGTAGCTGTCAGCCCTGTCGATCATAGGCGGGTTTTATACGGGACATCGCTAGCGCCCTGCTTGTTTTGACTCCGACGTTTCCCGCGCATAAATCACAAGCCTAATGTATCGAATTGATGCAGCAGCGCGCATCGCTCAGTGCGACACCACCCTAAGACTTTTACAGACAAATAAGTACTAGACCTAAATGGATTTAAAGTCGATTTCAGTTTGATGCTTTTATATCTCTTCATGGTTAGTCAAATTCAGTCCATAAAGACATACCGTCAAAGTTGAAGTTAATGTAGCAGAGAAAGCGACGAATACTGTTTTTGAAAAAATTGCAAGCTATTTTCTTTTGATCATTGGTGGTCGCCATTTGTGTTCTTTATTCCTGTTGTCATAAAGACGACAATTGAGTGTTATATATTATTTTAGCGGAACAATTTGTTTTGGTAGGTATGTAATCCACATGAAAGCTTTCGGATTAGTGTTTGATGACATCATTATTTTTCGGATGACGATCGTGTTGCGATTTCGTTCGCCCTGTGGGATCGAGGGGGCGAAAATTTGTTTTTTTATTTATTTCTACTCCGTTGTGATTTATTGTTCGGACTCAATTTTGTGAGTAGTAAGCGTACTTAGAAGATTGTCTGATTTTTTTCGAAATTCCTTGCCAAATTCATTAATTTAAGTAGGCGTCTTAAAAGAAAACTTCAATAGTGTGTTTTTAATGAATATAATGTGACGTCTACGACACAATATATTTATATGTTTATAACAAAAGGACGAGTGAGGATAATGTTCTAAAAACGATAGTAACAAAATATTTTAAGAACATTAATAAAGCACACCGCACTCAAAACCGGTAACGGAAACCCCGTGGCAGCACTACTAGGAAATCATAAATTACTATACTCAAAACTAAGCTCAATTATTTCCGTATAATCTTAGATCCTTTAAATCGCATGATTCGAACGCCCCTCGCACAATAGTTCCTTCGATTCATGCCAACCTGGTACTTCTACCGTCCGAATACGACTGAATTACCCTTGCCTTGCTCCCTTCGCGTCCCTTGTTTCAATTTTCCGGATCACTGGACCCTGTCGCATCGAGATGTGGTCATTACAAAGAGGAAAAATCTCGCAGATGTTAGCAAAATGTTAATTTTGATACGAATCTCGGTTTGTCAACCATTAAAGCGACGAGGTACCTCGTAAAGTGATTTTACGCGGAGGTTGATGAAACGATAACAATATGAGATATGACCTTGTTACGCTCGTAAAGTCGAAATTAAGTCTTAAAAAATATCAAATTTAAGACAAAACAGAAGAAAAATCAGCTTAATACGCAGATGCCCGAGAATTTAAGGTATTTTAATTATTCTTAATATCTAAAGGTGATTTTGTGAGATGTTTACAAGGAATCTATGCCTGATCTAAATTCTTCAAATATCAAATCTTCATATAAAATTTGTTACGCATTAGGCTTAATACGGAGTTCTCGAATTCTTCGGTAAAAATATATATAATCAAACGCAACATTCCGTGGAAAAGAATATTAAACACTAGCGACTCGCCCTTGCTGCGCTTCGGAAACTGTAATTTATTATTAATTTCTCCACTATTTAATGGATGTTATTATGCATATGTGACTATACTGAGACCTTAGAACTATATCTCAAGGTGTGTGGCGCATTTACGTTGTAGATGTCTATGGGCTCCAGTAACCACTTAACACCAGGTGGGCTGTGAGCTCGTCCACACATCTAAGCAATAAAAAAAAAAAAAAAAAAAAAATATAAACCTTCCTCTTCAATCACTCTATCTATTAAAAAAACTGCATCAAAATCCGTTGTGTAGTTTTAAATATTTAAGCATACGGAGGGATATAGGGACAGAGAAAGCGACTTTGTTTTATACTATGTAGTGATAAAGAATTCCAAATATATTACTTGGAGATGCATCAACGAGTGTTCACACGAAAGGGTCGGGGGTTGTAATCCCGGACGGGCCCCCGGGACTCGTAACCGGAGAACTAAAGTACAAACAGACAAATTTGTGTACGCACTACAATATGTTATACCCTCGCGTATTACGACATATACATAAACGAATTTCTTTGTTACATTTATTAAATGTATTATTTACAGGTTTCCGAGAACATATTTGCCGTAATTTAAAATAATAAAGAAAGATACAATACTGAGTGAATGTTATCATATCACTTACCTCTCTACGTAGAATTGGCCAGTTATACGTATCGATTGCTTAAACGCAAATCGACAAGCGGGATAACCCGAAATGACAATATATTTAAACGTTAAAAGAATAATCTCTTAATATTATATTTTACATCGGTTGTTGGGCATTATCATTTCATGTTTGTGACGTGGACATTTTTAGATTTAATCTTCGTTTAGCTGTACTTATCGGGACGAGATCTCTATGACCTGATATATGATGACTTTATGATTGTGATAAATAAAATTTTGTTACAAATCTTTATAAAACTAAATCTGTTTATTTAGTCTGTCATCAGAATGGAGATTATTACGGATAAAAAGCGTCCAAGTGGCCACAGTTGATTAATAAGCATTGGTCGCCGAACACCATGTATTGTAACGATGTAGTCCTTTTAAAGTTATGTCCTTTTCCCTGGTAGGGTATTTTGTGAGCCCGCTTGGCTAGATACCGCCACCCCGCCTACTTCTACGGGAAAGCAGTAATGCGTTTCGGTTCAAAAAGTTGAAACTGAGACTTAGAAGTTATGTCTCGTAATGTGTGGCGCCACTTGAAAGCAAATGGAACTTGAGCTCATCCAAAATATTTTTTTAAAGTATTCTATTCTAGTAACCTCGAGGGGTTATACTAGATTCACAGAACGAGTAGATTAGCTCACGGGGCTCTAACCTGACGACGTTGCTAGCACCCGCTCTAGTACGCAGTAGCAGTAGCAGTGCTTCGCAGAATCTACCACCGGATCGGAAACGCGACCCACTGAGAAAATCCGGCGAGAAACTCAGTGGGCTGTGTCTATGGGCTAATTTACTCGCCGAGCCCCCTTCGTCACAAGCGACGGGTTCGACGTGAACGATGATGGGTGCTTGAGGTACCTGCTGAAATGACGTGTTTAGGGCCTCATCCACCTAAGTTTTTTATGCCTTTCTTGTGCTAATGACATTAGCTCGAGACGACATTCCGAACAAGCAGAGAAGCGTCGACTAACAAGCCGCCTGAACAAGTGTTTTAAAAGTAAAACTTATTCGAATTTCTTATTTCAGAGTTACCACACTTTTCGTGTACGACATTCTTTATCGGCCATCAGTTCCGAGTGAGTCCCTTATAAAGTGTGTTTTACACCGTCGAGGGCGGCGGCGTCTCCGGTTACTTACCTGGAAAGATGGAAATCATATCTTAGTATAGAGCAGACAAACAACAACAAAAAAAACACACACACACAACAACAGCAGAATGACAAACGGTGTCGAGATAAGAAGGTTTTTGCGAAATTTTTTTTACAATTTCAACGAGATATGACGTTGATTTGTGTTGTGTAGTTTTTTGAGAATTATAATTATTATTTTTAGTGCGGAAGAACATATTTCGAGAACATTTTTCTTTTATTTCGTGAACTAAGCTCTTAGATTGTCTCAACGATTAATCCAATATTCCGCTACTTTACCGTATTAAAGCGACAATGGAATACTAAGAATTCAATATTAAAAAAATGTAGTAATTTGTAGACACATCAGGAACCTGTAGTAAGCGACATTATAACTATATACGAATCCGTAAAAAATATTACATCCGATTAGGGAGGCCCAAGTACCGTTGGTCTGACGCTGTGGAAGGAAATTTACGGGAGCTGAAAGTGTCGGACTGGCAAAGTGTTGCGCAGCGCCGGGATGAATGGCAAAGTTTATTGTCGGAGGCCAAGGCCTACTTCGGGGTCATAGCGCCAGCTCAATAGTAGTAGTAGTAGGCTTCTACTCAACATTCGAATTGAATGATGTTCTACTGAGAGACCATAGCTCGAATCCGACTCCAATGAATACTATGAGAAAAATATTTGATATACGACGGCTTGCACTTATAATTGTTTCGTGACGTAGCGTTTACTTTATACGAATATATAAAGAAAGAAAGAAGGAAATAAATCATTGATTCGCTAAGCATAGTGAAAATGAGTTATTACATAAGTGAAAAGGACCGTGTATGCTTTGTAATTATTTGACATGCGAATTTTAGCGCAATGCAAGAAATGATGATATTATATAATTTACCATTTATTCATTCATAATTCAACTAATAATTAATAAAATCCATTTATTTTCATTTATGCGCTACTTAAGATCTGACGTCTGCTCAGCTAAAGAAAGATGTAGAAGACTGAGTCAAAACTACTCAGCATTGATTAAATAAAAACAATTCACAGTTCGAACATGAAAATATTTACTGGTGGTAGGACATCTTGTGAGTCCGCACGGGTAGGTACCACCGCCCCGCCTATTTTTGCCGTGAAGCAGTAATGCGTTTCGGTTTGAAGGGCGGGGCAGCCGTTGTAACTAAACTTGAGACCTTAGAACTTTTTTTTTAGCAATTAAAACGCAATAAAATTAAAAATAAACATTCACAGAAAATTCAATACACCTTCAGTGTAACTTCATTACTAAAACATCAATTATATCATCGTTTTTAACTTGAATAACAATTTGCAACTCCCAAATATCTTGATACGTTCAATAAAAAACCAGTGAGCATTTTCGTTTGACTTTCGTGATGATAATATAATAAAAATGGCCGACACCATAACTTTCTCGTGTCCAACAAACGTCTTAATTATTTTAATCGACACTTGATTATCTAACGAACTACTACTATTAAAGTCCTTTGATATAGGTAGTTTACGTCTTGTTTCATGTTAGAGCTTATGATACGGTCTACCTCGGTTTTAACTGCTGTCAAGTATTATGAAAACGTGATTACGAGATCCGACCTTTTTAGAGAGACATTAAAGTAAACCACATCCAGATTATGAAACCCTGGTACATTTAGAAAGACGTATCTTTTATTTTCCTAGTTATTTAGCCTGCGCACGGCTCAAACGATAATAAGTTCAAAATTAAAACGCGTTTCCCGTCTCTATAAAACATTAGTGAAGTCAGTTTATTATCTAATTAATTGAAACATTTATCGCATTTTATCTTTATTTTAAGAAAGATATATGACTAAAATATACAATGTCTGAGTTATTAGGATGCTTAATTAGCTTTGAGCTGGCGACGTTATGTAAAATTTATGTAGCCTAATTAGTTAGTCATATCGTCAGAGATTTGAAATGTTGTATCAGATAACGGTCCAATGTAATCCTGACATCAAATTGTTAAATAAAAAACATTCTATACTCGCCATAGAAACTACTATTCAAAATCAGGACGGTAGCATCTGTCATCTCAGTATTACTGATTCATTGACATAAATAATGTCAACAGTCAACCATTGAGAGCCGTCGACGCCGCGACAGGATAGCCACCGCTCCCAAAAAAAAAAAAAAACAGCACTCCCGAGAACACAAGGCATAAATATATCAAAACGGAAACAATAGGGCGACTCCACCGACATCGCGTCACACGCCACCGACCCGCTCACATATTTCAAAAAACGCACAAATAAAAAAGACAAAATAAGAATTTCGAAAAGCCAACATCGAAGAATAAAAACAAAAACAAAAACAAAAAAAAAAACGAAAAAAAACTACGTGACGGACATTAATTAAAACGGACCCACGACCAGGAATCCAGAAAAACAAAAGAGTTTAAACAAACCTTCGCAGTGGGATCCCTCGCAATGATCATCATCTCACATTTTTAATCATCGAACGTAAAGTCATCGAGGGCAATCGAAAAGTGACCCTGCGCCTCAGGGTTAAGAATGGGATCGCGACCGCAGAGGACGCATCGTTTATCGATATAAAGACCTGTTGAAAATTATTTTTTGGTCGGATTGTCACCGTTGTTTTAATGGTATTATGCATTGAAGAAGGGTTATCTGCTGGGTCCGATCTCGGGTCCAGGTATAGAGCCAAGATTGATTGAGAGGGATCCGACATTTTTATGTCTGTTCTCTGGGGTGTCATCGACTCGCCACGAAGGGCTAGGTTATTAAATTAGTGCCATCGAACGGACAAAAAAAAAACCAATAATTATCGCAGTAACTTCGCTCATCATTCTTTAAGACGTTTAGGTGGCTTCGTGAATAAAAATATCGACATAATGAATTTGGACATTGTTCGAATGATTTGTAATGTTATGACTCACTATAAAGAGTTTTAGTTTCGCGATATAAATTTACATTTACGAAAATAGCACACAAGAACCAAACTTCATTTATTAAATTTAAACATTAGTTTTATCTTTAATCAGGACAAAAAGTTAGATCAACGATATTTAAATGATAGTGGATCATTAAAGAGTACGATACAAATCAGCGTCGGGCGCACATTACAATAGTTGTCAACACAACGTTCAGAGCCCGCCTTGGAAGGGATTATGACAGAGGCACAAAAGCGCAACGCTTAGTGGTAGGGCGTTGTAAGAGACTCGTAAAAACGTATTGTGCATTATTTGTGTTATTGTGTCCTTTTGTTAGTAATATGATGTCGAACATAATGCGAGCCGAGTGTGGACCGAATCTGTTGTGTTTTTTAGACAATAATGTTTTTATTTGTATTTTATACCGGCCGATTCGAATTTGATGTGTTCATTTACAGTTTTATTTGTATTCTAAATAATCTGTTACTCGTGTGTAGTTGTATACCATTACACATATAACTACACGACAGATTTCCATTGCCAATATACATCTGGAGCTTAATTTGTGAGGTGAAGTTCGTTGGTGCAAAAATCTTGCTTAATCAGCAGAAAAACTATTTCTCGTATGGCTATGGTTGTAACGATGTTGTCGATTTGGAGATCTGTGATTGAAATCTCTTGCTTTATTACATCGCTCCTACCCCACAGATTGGGTTGGATAATCATTTGGCGATAAAATATAAGCAGGAAAGGAAGGAAGAAACAAGGGCACCATCCGCGCGGACTTTTATCCTACTACCAATATGATTGTTTATTTGAGCAATTTATCGAAAGGATTCATTTTTTCATTTAGCTTTACGAATGAGAATTTACTTAAGCAATGTTTTTTTTTTTTTTTTTTTTTATTGCTTAGATGTGTGGACGAGCTCACAGCCCACCTGGTGTTAAGTGGTTACTGGAACCCATAGACATCTACTACTACAACGTAAATGCGCCACCCACCTTGAGATATAAGTTGTAAGGTCTCAGTATAGTTACAACGGCTGCCCCACCCTTCAAACCGAAACGCATTACTGCTTCACGGCAGAAATAGACAGGGCGGTGGTACATACCCGCGCGGACTCACAACAGGTCCTACCACCAGTAATTACGCAAATTATAATTTTGCGGGTTTCACTTTTATTACACGATGTTATTCCTTCACCGTGGAAGTCAATCGTGAACAATTTGTTGAATACGTATTTCATTAGAAAAATTGGTACCCGCCTGCGGGATTCGAACACTGGTGCATCGCGCTCAACGCGAATGCACCGGACGTCTTATCCGTTAGACCACGACGACTTCAAACACAAGACTTTTCCCTGTATGTGCCTTAGTAGCTATACCTATGGCTCTTAATTATTTTTATTTGGTCCTAGCTGACTCGGCAGACTTCGTAGTGCCTCAATCGATAAATAAAAGATCTAAACTTTTGTATAAAATAAACTTAAAACAAACAAAAGGAATCCGTCCGACGGGGGACATATCAAAGAAAGAACAAAATTGTTATTTTTATTTAATTCCGAACATTTTCATATTTAAACCTTCTCTGAACCTCCACAAATAATTCAAGACCAAAATTAGCCAAATCGGTCCACCCGTCTCGAGTTTTAGCGAGACTAACGAACAGCAATTCATTTTTATATATATAGTTAGATTAGATAGATAAATAGATAGATTAACGAACTTTAGTGCAATTTATTAAGAACATCAAAAAAAGAATTCCAAAAGAACAAAACATCTGGGTCCTTTTTGTCGTCTGATTTTCAACCAAATTGTTTTGTTTGATTGCTGTTTATTAGCTCTAACTGCGTTATCAATAAAAAATGTAAGTTTGTCTTTAAAATGTCAATGACACAACAAATGAAACATTTCAATTTAGAGTTTGAATATAAATTTTGAGGTGTCATTGTTTATGGTCGAATTTCGATCACTGGTCGAACAATAATATTTAGTGACAAGTCGGTCGGACAATACCCTAGTTTGGTATTGAGGATCTGATTTGGTCTTGTCTCGTTAGTGTTTGTTTCCGGTGTCATAGC